GTATAATTCCAATGCAGGTGAAGGAAAAGCTACCGAGTCTGGCCACTTTAATGGGAATTAATCAATTTAACTGTTGTTGTGGACAAAAACAGTCACATAGGGCGATCTACTCGACAAGCCTACCATCGCCTTCTTGAGCGTTTTTCAGTCTGGTTAGATAAAGGAAGGAAGCTGTAAAGTCGATGAGGAGTTCCATGCTTGGAACATCCTTAGCGGGGATATGAAGCAAAAGATTAGTAGTCAAATCAAAGCAGGAATTAAGCGGAAGACATACCTTCTTATAGCTTAGAATACCCAGCTGGATAATTTACCAATTGGGAAAACCTGAAGTAAATGTTCTATCCCACCTATCAGTGTAACATCGCTTCAGGTACAGGTAGCACAACTGAGGATATCAAAGTCCGGAAAGGGAAAGTAAAGCAGGTAAGTGTCCGTTATACTTGGAAATCGATGTGGATATCCACAGCATTGAATATACAAAGAATAAGATCAGCATTCTTAATCAAAATCGAATCTCTGAAAAATGTAATTAGTGAACTATTGTAGCTACATGGATGACAGTTTGTAAAATTATGAAAAATGAGAATCAAGCAAAGAACATCCTTGATAAATTTAACGATGTTCATCCTGAAATAAGTCCTACAATACAAAAAGAAATTCTAGTATTTCATTCCCAGACGTCTCTAAACACACTCCTGACACATTAATAAAAATTCTTAGACTTTAATTCATCCCATCCAGAATCGGTAAACATTAGTTTAGTTGAATGTCTTTATAATAATCGGGCTAAGAGCCCAACTAGTTAACCGGAAGATTTAAATGATGAAGTCGAACAAATGAAGGAAATATTAGTCTAACAACAGAAGACAACTGCCAGGCAACAGATCAAATTAGTGAAAAAATCAAGAAATACTTATAGATATTTTGTACACTATTATTAGCATTATTGTTGGCAGAGAAGCAACATCTTCTGATTGGTTGTTTTCTTGCTGAAGGTCATTCTGTATTGCTTGTAACCATTTCTTAAAAAGTTAAGCCATATATCTGAGAATCGTATTTGCACATGTTAAGTCTACTATGATTGGTTGGTGAGTTACTCAAAGTTAAGCTTTGTTATCGTTTTCTTCATGACCCCCATTTAGGGATGTAAACATTGACGTAAATTGTTGTCTACAATTTTGGCTTGCAGACAGCTCTCACCACATTACTAGTGAATAACTACCCACCAGATTTTGTTAAGAAATATATGAAGATCCATAAAAAAAACGAAGTGATGGAAACAATATAGAATTCAAAGCCTCTGCAGCACTGTTGTATAAAGAAGGAATATCAGAGCCCTTACGTAGAATTCTCAATGAAGCTAGAATTAGTCGGGGTGGCATTTAAACCAACCAACTAACTCTCTCAGAGATAAACTTTTTCAGTTTAAGGAGCCAATAGAACCAATTAAGAAAAATAATATAATTTACCGAATACCATATAATAATTGTGAGGTCAATTACATAGGTCAAACTAGTAAATCGGGATCAGTTAGATTATCGGAACAGAAATTTAGCTGAACCTAGAAGAATTGACTCTGCTAAGTTAAATAACCTAGGAAAAAGATCAATCATCGCACTGCACTGCATTCAATGCTTGCAATCACAAAATTTATTTATTTATTTTTGATTTACAGCTTGATTCCATACCGTATTTTCGGTACAAGTATGGAATTTTCAGCATGGATATCGGTAGCCTAAATTTCGCAGGTCGACCATAGACATCAGGTGTGCGTCGGCAGGGGATCGAACCTCGGACCATGTGCATGGTCAGCGACAGTCCTAACCACTGTGCCACCGACGCACAGAGTATTAAAAAGTAATATAATTAGGTGAAGAGAGAGAGAGAGAGATCAATCACTGAAGCTTTGTTTATCGACTCAACACCGCACACATGGAGTCGAAATGACGCAACACCTACCTATACCGGAGATATGGAAAGTGGCAACAAACAACAGAAGGAAGTTGGAGAGACAGAGAGAGAGAGAGAGAAAATATAGATAAGACAAATTGTGAAACCGTATAACGAAATTGATTGATGATTATGAGTGGCAATAATTTATGCTCGAAACCTTGTCATCCAGTTGTTAATACTGCACCACTGTGTGATTATTAAAATAAACTTATCCAATATAGACGTCCCTATGACTACAGAAGAGGATGGCACAAATAAGAAGGAGTGTATATTGAAAACCTACACAGGTTAGTTAGCATACTCATTTTTTGAGCTTTGTACCCTTGAAATATATAAATGAGATTTAGTAGTGTTTGCTTCACAGAGCAATCTGCCCTGATGAATGTCTCAATGAAGAGTTCAATATTATTACTGAACAACTATTGGGTGATAACGATTATCTGGAGAAATTTACTGACAAGAATATGAGTGTGAAGCCAGGGCAAGCTAAAGTACCAGCAGTCCTGAACATAGATCTCGTTCCTAAAAATTCAGCTCCTTAGTGAAATAGTGATGCAACGCTTAAGGAATGCTACAAAAAGATCATTCACTGCCGCTGAAGTATGCTGTCTCTTCAAAACCATCCCTATTTTACGTTTGGAAGTTAAAGAAGAACTACCTAATTTCACCTCTTCTATATGTATCTGTCAGTTTGACTACTCCTATGGAGCCAGCTACATAGGCGTGTTTATCCTCGGATTTTTGAAACATCATTCCGTGTGGTTAAGCAAACCCCAGACAAACAAGGTCCATTCACTGCTCTACTCTATCTCGTCTCCTAGGATAGTGAACACAAAATTGACCTTGACAAAGTTATCTACCGTATCCTGACTAATCTTAATTCTACCTTACAAGTTCGTCTGTTTTATATATTGCTGAAACCATCGAAATCTACATGACTTGTACATCCAAAAGAAGTTGATTCGAGCGCTTTCCTTACCTTGGCTCCATCAATGTTTTAACTATCCTCAATTTGTTGCATAAACTTTCTTCACTTAATCTAATTATCTCTTTTTTATTCCCTTGCGTTCCCAGTGGAACATAGGACGCCTTCAAGCTACAGCCTTGAAGTTTCCGTAGCAGTGGTGTTTGTTTTTACGGGGTGGGATTGCTAGTCTCACGCCCAACTTCCCCTCTTTGCCAGGCTTATTACCAGGTCAGCAAGGTTTGGGAGTGCGTCAGCCGGGGATTGAGCCCCAGACCATCTCAGTGGCTGAAGAGTATCGTACCTCTGAGCCACCGACGCATCTGATAATCTATCTGTGCGTCGGTGGCACAGTGGTTAGGACTCTCGCCGACCATGCACATGGTCCAAGGTTCGAACCCCCGCCGACGCACACCTGATATCTATGGTCGGCCTGCAAAATTTCGGCTACCGATATCTATGCTGAAAATTCCATACTTGTACCAAAAATACAGTGTGGAATCAAGCTGTAAATCAAAAATAAAAAAAATAGACTTTTTTATGCTTATTATAACTTGAGCATATTTCCTCAACTATAACTGACCTTAACAAACCGATATTATTTATAAAACACAAATATTGTTAACGATGATTATTCTAGAATATTATGTTTGTATAGTCATAATTTAGATAAAGCAATAAGAAGCCGTAATTTTGTTGTAAGTGTTGGCTGCTAGCCGAATTGGTAGACAGTAATTTACGTCAATGCTTATATCCTCAATATTGGTCATGAGAAAAATAAGAACAAAGACTGACTCAACAACCAATCACAGGAGACATTGCGTAGGCGGATACAATTTGCAGATAGATAGATAATCTGAACTTCAAGAAACCGCCACAAACGGATGAAAGATTAATGTTCAACGAGAAACCACCAATCAGAAGATTGTGTTTTTCTACTAACAATAATCTATAATAATGTACATGAAAATCTATAAATATTTATTGATTTCCTGAATAAAGGATCTGTTGCCTGGCGAGGGTATTCTGTTGTTACAATTTGTCTGAATCGTGTAGTGTTGTATTTGCGCAACACATTTCGAACAATCTGATCATACACCGAATTGTCATAGGAATACACATATGAAATTAATAGAGTTAAGAGTTGAGAGAATAAACTCAGGTCAATTTATAAAAGGACGGAGGTCACTAAACCAAATAATAGTACATTTGCTATGGTATCAAAACAAAATTTTACCAAGGAAGAAGGTTTAGTGTGACGACGAATTGCTTTTGAACGCTCAAAGGTGGTTTAAACTTCCTAATTGCTAGCCAGGGCTTCCACAAACTTTAGGATACGCCACCAAACACGTTTTATAGATAGGTTTAAAAGATGTGTTAAGGTCAATTTTATGTCCTGTCTTTATAGTATATTTCGTAATGGAGGACCTAGGTCTCCTGTTCTCACCATTAATGGATTCTGAAGATTCTATTTGTTTCTGGAGTCATTTAGGAATATGCTCTGAAGCCAACCCTTACTTGCAGAGATCGATGAGTCCTCCCTATGCATGTATGTGTATGTCCACACATACATTCAAATCGGTAAATACAGTGGGATGTGACATCATTTTTCGCATGTTCAAAGGGCTTAGATAGATATATATTGGCTTCACATTCTCTATTATTATTATTATTATTATTGATATTAGCTGCGTAAAAAGTCTTTTTAACAGCAGTGTTCAGTCTTTGTCTAGTTATCAAGCTGCTATAATGCCTCATATAGGGTAGGTTGACTTATAAACCTTAGCACAGCGTCGATGACACACTGGTTAGGACTCTCACTGACCGTACACATTGTCTGCGGTTCGATCCCCTACCAACGCACACCTGATATCTATAGTAGTAGGCCTGCAAAATTTGGGCTACCGATATCACATGCTGAAAATTCCATACTTGTACCAAAAAATACGGTGTGGAATCAAGCTGAAATCAGAAATAAAATCAAAAAAAACTTCAATTCTACCCACTACTAAACAGAGAAACCTTGAGTCATCAATAACTCACTATATACTCAAAGTCACAAAGAAATACAGAAAAAGAAAACTAATAATTAAAATATCTTTTATTTTGAGTAATATCCACTTTATATATAAATAATCACTTTGAAATAATACACACACACACACACGAAAAAACAAAATCACCCAAAAATTAAATATTATGCATATATATATGTTTAAAATAAAAACAGTAAAGGAAGAAATCAGCCCTTCTGTCAAAAATTATTACGTAACTTCAAATGACATAAGGAGTAGAAAGGATAACACAGCTAATTCACATATATATATATATATATATATATATATGCCAAAATAGTGTAGTGACTAACTGGTCTATACAAATATAATTAGTTATATTATGCATTAATATCTGATCCTAAAATGGATCGATTGTAGTGTTAAAACGTGATCGGTCTAATTCTGTTCATAACTTGTTGCATCACTACTTTTAAAAGAGGATTTGTCCTTCATCTTCATCTTGATTAAGAATATTCGGTGCATGATCTACTGAAGCTAACTGGAAGCCTTTAGCTTTTAATTCAGATTCTTTTAAGGCACGATTACGTTTCTTTTTCTCCTGTACTTTTTTCAATCTATTTAGAAAATATAAAAAATTGATAAATGAATCAATAAATCAATAAACCGATCGGTAAATAAATAAATAAATACCTAGAGCTGCCCAAACCTCATTGGAAGTTAACTGCCAAGACGAATAAGTTCACAGCCCCACATTATTGAGCTGAAAAACACGCTTAGTAAATGAGACTTGGTATTACTACTCACTTGCTGGAGGATTGAAGTAGGTGGAGTGGGATTCGGACCTGGGACCTGTTGATTGACTGAAAGCCGAGTGTTAAAAAGTCAATGGGGGACATCCCGACTTATTCATATATACCGCTGATTGGTATAGTTCACTGTAATGCATTATCTGTGTTTGGACCTTTCTGAATTTTTTTCTTCATTCTCAACCGGGCGGACTCCACTGGTTGCGACATGTCATTAGAACTCCAAGCACCTTCATCCTCTAGCCAGTTACTCACTAGCAAGTATTAGATTAATTTTCAAGAATTAGTTTGTAGGAAACTGATTTATTTCAAGGTTGAACACGGATTGAAATCATTTCAGGAGTCATTAAAAACCACCAAGGAGTGATAGACGGCTACTTCGTACCGGCGCGGGACTCATCGGCAGTACGCACCCACAAGCGTCCTGACTCAGAACCTTCCGTTCACAAGGCGAGCTCACTCGTACACTCACTAACTCTTGAAAATTAATATGCTACTATCTAGTGACTGCCTACTGGATAAAGTTGCTTGGAGCTCATTCTAGTGAAAAGTTCTGACCACCAGTGAGATACACCAGGTTGGGAATGAGGATAAATGCTAACCGATCACATTGACTAGTGGTCACACTATAATCACGAATCGGCAGAGCTTGGAATAACCACTGGATCTGAATAAATGGTCTACGAGCTTGACTTGTGACTGGAAGATCCTGGAGTCGAACCCCGATGGGTACGTACTGATGACGAGTTGCAAACTAGGAAGAAACACCTATCCAGTATTCCCTAACGGTTTTCAATGGTTCTCCAAATGATATTGATCCGTGATCAAGCTTGATACAAATCAAATCCCTACAAGCTAGATCTTGAAAACTTTTAGTACACTCGTCAGTGAGGTAAGAATGGATTAATCAATCACGAAGTATCATCAACCTGAAAATTATGATAATCAGTATAATAATAATAATAATAATAATAATACTATTTCGCCTTTATTTACCAAATGCATTTCTAAATATGTCGTAAACTTTGATTATCACTTGCCTTCGCTCGATACCGAAGATCAAAGAAAAAGCCGGAAAGAATAAGCCATAAGGAACTGTGACAAGCAGAAAATTAGCCAACAACTCAACTACCCAATAAATATAGACAAGATGGATGTGGTTTGTGAATATACACGCTGATGAGATTCATCAAGTGGAACCAGGGATGAGAAGGAAACAGTTGGGCGTGGTTGGGTACAGGGGTAATATAGAGAGAGAGTCATGTGAGGAGGAAGTTTTTGGGGAGACATCTGAAATAGGCGAAAGAGCACCTAGTGCAATGCAGATGATATGCCCCTAAATCGAGGAAATGAACTTATCAAGGAGGACCGATGGAACTCTGAAGAGATCAATTTATCGTAAGCTGTCATGGAATGGTCAACTGACAAATTTCTACAGCTGGGTACCGATTGGTCGAAAAAGAAACCCGGTCCGGTCCCTTGCCACTCGTATTCGGCGCATATGTACCACTGATACTGTGGAAGATGAGTTATACATTTTGAGGAAAATCCTAATAGAAGATGGATTTCCACTACGTTTTGTAGATAGGAATATACATTCAAAGCCTACAAAACGTGACTTATCAACCGTACCCAAGAAAATACTTTACATGAGTTTGGAATTCAAAGGGGGCTTAGCTTCCGATATCATGAAACAAAGGATAATACAGTCCCTGAAAAGAACATTCCGGCTGCATCTCTGAGAATAGCCTTTACTAGCCGACCATTACTGTTCAATAACCTGAAGGACAAAATCCTGAAGTTGATCAACTCTATGTGTGTTTATCAATTCACCTGCTCGTGTGGAGCTAGGTATATCGGTCGTTCGACTCGAGTTTTGTCCAAGAGGGTGAAAGAACACTATCCTGCATGGTAGTTACGAAAAGGTGGAAGTGGAGCAATAAGAAGCGCAATCATTGAACATCTGGTCGATAATGATCACCCTATCTTCTCTATAGCCTCCGCCTTTAAAGTCATCTACAAGGCAAAGAGTAATTTACCCGAATCCCTACGTACCCGACTCATCTGTATTGTTGAAGCTTTGGCTATCGAAACAGAAAAGCCAGATCTCTGTGTACAGAAAAAGTTCGTTCAACCCCTCCAACCTTCATGGTCTTAATTCTTCTATTCTAAAGTATGGGGTAATCCCCAATCGTATTTTAGCTCTACCAATTTTTCATTTTGTCTATTCAATTTGTATACTCTTCCTTATTACGTCAATTGTTAATATTACTATTCTCACTTTGAACTATCCCCGGTATTATTTCACTTGTTCCACTTGTCATTCTAAATCAATTCTTCTCTTATACAACGTTAAATTCTATGCTATTAAATTTCACGCAATATTACGTAACATTTTTTGTTTTATTCAATTTGTCTACTAATCCTATAATTGCACACCGTTTTTCAAGTTCTATCCATCCTATGAACTATTCTACATACGACATTAATTTGCTTTGCCACTTGACATTTAACTACGATTATAATCACAAACATTTTAGTTTTCATTGCATTTCATATTATTATTATTATTATTATTATTATTTTATGCATTCACACCTAAGATTCAATTCCCTCACCGGATATAACATCTTAAAAACAATGTATAAGTGCAATTGTACAGCTAGATAAAAAATTCGTCTCTTCGCTGAATCACTTGTTTTGATTTTCTATATGTTACAGTGGGAATTTTCCATATATATATATATAAAGAGAGAGAGAGAGAGAGATTAATGCAGGAGGTCTTTTGAATGTACTCGTTAACGAGTAAGTAAAAACTTTAACTTCATTCCGACTACAATTTAACTAATCACGGAGTATCCGTCATCTGAGGGATTATGACGTTGTGTTAGAACATCACCTCTTTAACTCACTCTACGATTGGCCACTTACTTATGAGATTGTTTTATCTACTGCATATCATCCTAAGGTGTCAGGTGATCCACACAACAGGAAACTCAGTGAAGCCTTTCAAGTTAAGACAGGAGGAGTTAGACAAGGTTGTCTACTATTACCAATGATATTTCTAGCTGGAGTGAACTCAATTTGTGAAGAACATCGTGCATGAGGAGCGAGAAGACAGGGATACTTTGGACCAAAAAGAAAACTGCAGAAGATCTAAACTTCATACACGATTTATGTCTAATATGCCATACACACTAGAACACTTACTTACAAGCAGAAGCCAACAAGCTGGCAGAAAAGACTGGCAACAAAGACAGGACTTCAAATGAACACAGAGATGACGGCGGAGGTGATGAAGATAACCAACACCAACAACAACAACAACCAGTATCAATCACTGTTCACGAAAGAAATTTGAAAGACGCCACTTCCTTCACTTATCTCACCATGCAGCATAGTTTCAACTACAGGTGACAGTATGGATGAGGATTTCAAAACCAGGTTGTACAGGAAAGGAGAAACAGACTGTAAGATCAATTCTATTCCCATCCTTGAATCAAGTCAACCTGTCACGGATCAGCCTAGCGTTGTTGCAACCCAATTATCCATGCCTAACGTGTCTATCCCTGCTTGTTTAATGAACTGTGTGTATGTGATTTTACCTCGATCCGTTTAGTCAGACAGTTGAACTCATGGCCCAATCAGAGTATTTTGTGAACTGTTATTTTTGCTGACCCATGTCTAACTTTGTACTATTCTGTCGAGTTTATCTTATTTATTGATTTTCATCTGTATTTTCCTACCTGGTTAAGTAGCCAATTAAATTCTATCTTTGTGCCTATGCTCGGTCTATATCTCTTAAACGCTCTCTGTTTTATGCCATGCCTTACTTGGGTTCATTCTTCTACTGACTGCTTACCTGAACGGTCGTGTCTGGTTCCGGCTAGTTCGCAATTTTGGCTTTAACGTTATTCCGCTCTGATAGCGGTACCTTGCTTTCTTTTAAGCGTTGTGCTTTGTACTCTTGAAACCGTTAAGGTTTGTTGTATATATAATTATTGATTTGTTTATTAATAGTACCGTAGAAACAGTGACCGGCTTCTTGTTTGTTCTGGACCGGGATAGCCTTTATCTACGCGTGACTTAATTTCAAGCAATATTGCGCTTACACAGACCTTCATCAACCTGAAATCAGTTTAGCAATCTTCTGAACTCAGCATAAAGAACAAAACTAGGGTTTCCAAAACATCAGTGTCAAGTCAATCCTACCATACGAGTGAGAAACTTGGAGTGTCACGAAAAGCACTCATATCCATATTGAGGATGAAATGACCAGAGAGCATTAGTGACAAGAAACTTTGGAAACGAACCAACCAGAAAACTACTGCTCAACAAGTATGCCGAAGAAAATTGAAATGGATCAGACACACACTGAATAGACCCCGTTGGATAAAGTCGCGCGCGCCAAGCCATTGCTCGAATAGAACCCAAATGGTAAACGGCAATGTGTCCACGAGTGACATGGAGAAGATGAGAACCTAAGGGCAATAGTGAAGCCAGCTGAAGGGACCACAAGAAACAGAAGATGTGCGATTGAATCACTATGTTCCGCTTGGAATCCATGGAAATAATAAAAAAAAGATAAGCACTGAATGTCTGTCTATCAAATAAAAAATGTCAGTTATGATAAAGTCAACATAAGAATTACATTAAATTTGCTAACCTGTAAAATTCTTCTCTCTCACGTTCATCTAATTCTTGTGTAATATAATTCAGTGTACGTTCAATTTTTGGTATAATAACTAGAAAATAAAAAAAACACCAAAACACGCTATACGAATGAAGCATCGAACATAAACACAAGATAGGGTAGAAGAAGTGAGTAAACTCTAACTCTATTATGGATATAAGTATAAAAGTATGGTATAACTATCATGAACTCAATCATAGGACAAAACTGACCATTGAAGAAATTATTTTAGGGATTCAGTTATGCCTCACATCTACTATCTTTAAGTTCCAAGGCAAAATATATAGACAAACAGAAGGTGTAGCAATGGGATCCCCTATCGTAGCAGACATTTATGCATGGTAGCTGGGAAACTAGTGCTCTCAATACATTTAATCCTACTCCAAAAATATGGTGGAGATATGTGGATGACACTTTCACAGTGTTAAAAACAGACACATATCTCTAGCTTCTTGACACACATAAACTCACCAGTAGAGGGAATAAAATTCACATTTGAATCGGAAAATGAACAAGGAGAATTAGCCATGATGTTAGACTGTAAGATAAAACGAATAGAAGAAGGCAAACTACACACTAGTGTTTATAGAAAACCAACGCATCCTGCAAATAGATATCTAGACTTTAATTCATCTCATCCGTTGACTGATAAGGCAGGCTTAGTGAAGTGTCTAACAAACCGAGCCATAGCACTAAGTAACACAAGAAAAGACCTAAATAACGAAATAAAACAGATAGAAGAAGCGTTGCTGTTGAATAACTATCCTATAAAATTCATTAGGAAGATCAGTAAAGACCGAAAACAAAATAAAAATAATTGTGGAACTAGTAGTGACGACATATATCTTCACCCTACGACAGATTCTAGAACATAGGCATTCCTACCGGCGTCCAACAGTCATTATATTTCTTGACCTAAAGGCAGCATTCGACTCTGTCGATCGAGAAGTTCTCTGGAGATGCTTGGCTGTAAAGGGAACCCCGAGAAAATATATTGCACTGATTAAGGCTCTGTACTCGTGAGGGCTTACAGCGAGCTGTCATCTGAACTGATGACGACCAGTGGTGTCCGTCAAGGATGCCCATTATCCCCTTTTCTATTCAACTTCATCATAGATGTGTTAATGGACTTAACCCTAAGTGACTTCAGTGACTCAGGGATTGACTTGCTACCTGGGAATAATCTCGTTGACTTGGAATATGCAGACGATATAGTCCTTCTAGGCGAAGACGCTGACGAAATGCAGAGTCTTCTAAACACCTTGAACAGCAATCTACGAATGTTTGGCATGCGATTCGCTCCCGCTGTGAAATGCAAGATGATGTTACAGGACTGGACTACATCGACGCCTAGTTTAAAAATAGGAAGTGAAGTGGTAGAGCACGTTGACCGCTTCACTTATTTGGGAAGTACCATCAGCCCCAACGGGCTGATCTCTGACGAAATCTCAGCACAAATACAGGGGGCTCGTTTCGCATTTGCCAGTTTACGCCGACTCTGGCGTAGACGAGATGTTCGACTATCGACCAAAGGGCGTTTGTACTGCTCATCAGTCCGCTCCGTCCTCCTTTATGGCTAGCTGTGAGACCTGGCCACTGAGAGTGGAAGATATGAAAAGACTAGCTGTCTTTGATCATAAGTGCCTGCGCTCTATTTCCCGTGTAAAGTGGCATAATAAGGTGAGCAACATGGAGGTTAGGCGTCGAGTTCTAGGTAAACAGGGGAAATCAATCGACGAAGTCGTGAAGTTACAAAGACTGAGATGGTTAGGACATGTGTTACGTATGCATTCCTAGCCATGCATCGCCTCCCTCGACGAGCTATGTTAGCGGATACAGGGCCAGGCTGGAAAAAAGCTAGCGGCGGTCAAACAAAAACTTGGCCTCACCAGTCAATGAAATCCACAACAGTTAGTTTAAGCCACGTAGGAAGGTGTAGACTTCCTAACTTGTTGGGGTCCTCGGGACGGTAAAAATCTATGGTTGGAAACAATTGGTGAAATGGCTCAAAATCGTTCTGAGTGGCGCAGATGCATCCACTCCCTGTGACTTATGATCTCCAATGAAACTGTTTTGTTCTTCGTTATCACTCCTTTGTCTCACACCTCTGCTCACTGTCTCTATTATGCTTTTCTTGTACTTTCTTCTCTTGCTTCGCGTGCTACACGGAGTGTGGCGACTTGAACTTCCGCACATTTGTGCAAAGTTCTATATCGAAAACAGACAGACAGAGAGAGTGATGACATAAATAAGAGAGAATGTGAGTCATCTATTATGGAGTTGCGTCTGCCTTTCTGTCTGTTTTCGACATAGAACTTTGCACATATGTGAGGCAGTTCAAGTCGCCACACTCCATGTAGCAGACAAACCAAGAGAAAGTAGAAGAAATGAATAATAGAAACAGTAAAAAGAGGTGTGAGACAAAGGAATAGTGATGTCGAAGAACAATATAGTTTCATTGGAAAGCATAAGTCAAAAGGAGTGGATGCATCTGCACCAGTCATTGAGAACGACTTTGAGCCATACCACCGATTGTCTAGTCATTGGTTTTTACAGTCCCAGGGACCCTAACCAGGAAGTCTACATCTTCCTACGTGGCTGGCTTAAACTAACTGTTGTGAATTTCATTGACTGATGAAGCCATGTTGGCTTTGGTTTGACCACAACTGGCTCTTTTCGAACCTGGCCCTGTCAGCTAACATTGCCCGTTGAGGAAGGCGGTGGCTAGGCATGCATGTATAACACATGTCCTAACCATCCCAATCGATGTAACTACCAGTAACTAACAATCTTCTCAGCATGTGTTAGATCCATCTCCAATTTCTTCACCCCCCCATTTTGAGCTATAGGTTCTTGGTTGGTTCTCTCTCCGACTTTCTTATGATTATTTCTTTCTAACCATTTGATCTTCAGTATGAAGGAAAAGCAGGTATTGATTAAAGTCTTCAACCTGTTGGAAACGATTTTCATGATGTGCCAAGTTTCTGATCTATATAGAAGAACTGACTGACCTAACATTCGTGCTGCTGAGTGATTTCCAAACCGATTTCACAGCAATGAAGGTCTGTCTTGCCTTCACGAGTCTGATTTTGGCATCCACACAGCTGATGCGTTGAAACGTCGGTTTTCTAGATAAGTGAAGGAAGTAATCTCTCTTTCAAATGTATTCCATTGATAGTGATTGGTGCTGGTTGGTGTTATTGCAGGTTGGTTACCTTCACCACTTCCGTTTTTCTTTATGTTCACTTTACACACTATTTATGTCTAATGCTACGAAAACAGGCAGAAATCAATAAGCTGACAATAGAAGTAACAAAGACAGGACTTCAAGTAAACAAGTTAACAAAAAATGACTTAACATCAAAAAATATGAACTGATTTCATTCACACTTACCGAATTCAATAGCATTGACACGACGATTTGTTGCTTTTATAATATCATCAAGTGTTATAAATGATGTTTGAAGAGATGCCAATTCAACAAGTAGATCAACAGCTTTACTGTAATTTTTCTTTAATCGGTCAATTTGCTGACCACCTCCTGCTAGACCTGTTAACTCGTAAGCTAGAACAGAATAACAGTGAGAGAGAGAGAGAGAGAAAATAAACATTAGTTGACACATGTACATGTCACAGAAATTATCAGCCATATATTTAAATACACCGCAAACAAAACAATATAATTCAATAAGGTCAGTGGCACAGTGGTTAGGACTCTCGCCGACCATGCACATGGTCCGAGGTTCGATCCCCTGCCGATGCACACCTGATATCTATGGTCGGTCTGCAGAATCTGGGCTACCGATATCCATGCTGAAAATTCCATACTTGTACCAAAAATACAGTGTGGAATCAAGCTGTAATCAAAACATAAAAAATATGACCTATTATTGCTTTTATTCCTTTGTGCTTCAACTAGACCATACGGCTTCAAGCTTCAGCTTTGAAATTTCAGTAGCAGTGGTTTCATTCTTACAGGATGGGGTTGCTAGCTTCATACCCAATCTCTCCACTTTACCGGGCTTAGCACAGTCTTCGCGAGGTTCATGAGTGCATCGGTCAACATTTGAACCCTGGACCCAGCAAGTGGTTAGCGAGCATTCTACAGCTAAAACATCGACCATTTAATCTGTTACTATCAAGATATTTAAGTAAAGTAATTATCTTGGAGTGAAAACCACTACCTTCAAAACAAGTAGCTTAATTATCACAAAATATATATACTTGATGTGAAACCTGTAACTGCTTTTGTTGTTAGAAGTCAAAAGGAGTGAATAATCTACTTTGATATAATAGAGATCTTTAGCTCAGGTGGATGATTTGCAGCTAATAGTGCTCTCTGAGCTGGTTGTTTTAGTTGAGGAACTTTCGTCGTCCACCTGCTAGACAACATCTTCAGCGCAATTTTGAGCATAAAGTGAACTGATTTAAATTTCTTCACGAGTGACAGAATTGCGTCTCCCGGTAACCATCTCTACATGTGTATTGATCATTTTCTATTGACTTGGAGTCTGAACTTTTTGGCCACATGATTTACTTTTTATTAGTTGGTACATTTGGTCTATATTCACGTGTTTGTTAATTGCATATTCGTTTGAGTACCAGGCTTCTAAGAATTCCCTGTCACTTCTCGTGTTTCCTCTGTCTAAAACTTAGACATTATCCCAATCAAACTGATGTCCATAATTGATATGAAAGAATATATATCATGTCTTTTCACAGCTGATTTGTGTTCCTGGATTCTGATTCGAAGGGGACACCCACTTTGACGGGCGTAATGTCTGTTACAGTTCATACAATTTATTTTGTAAAGGGTATTAATTTTATCTTTTTCTGTTGGATCTTTCAGTTTGCACAATATCAAATTAAGTGATTTGACTGGCTTGTGTTCTATATCTATGTCAAACGGTTCCAATATTCTAGCTGTTATTTCAGTTATTTTTATATATGGTAGGATGAATTCACAAGAGAAGAATTAGATAACAAAATCCCATCTTTAGATATCTTAATCAGGAGAACCAACACAGGAAATTTAGAAACACAAGTATATAAAAAATCAACGTACACAGACCAAATACTCAACTACACTAGCAATAATCCAATTACTCACAAAAGAAACTGTGTGCTGACATTGTTTAAAAGAGTTCAAACACACTGTAGCACTCCAGCGTTGAAAAAAGTGAAAGAAAAATACCTGCTAACGGTCTTCAAAAACAATGGACATCCACAAAATCTCATCAAAAAGTGTTTAAAATCGAATCACAACACCAACAAGGAACCATCATCAAAGAACACAAGAAAATTCATCCCACCATATATATAAAATAACTGAAAAAATTACAGCTTGGGAAAACATGACGACTAAATATATCTAGGGGGGTTACAAGAAATGAATCCATTTATGCCATTAAAAACAATTTCGAGTCATATCATCAACAGTCTCAAACCACTGGTTAATAACACCCCAACCAATAAAAAATGTCAAAGACTTGGTGAAATGATGACACGATTTGGTTTGACAATCACTTAATCTTTTACAATATAATACTGTGTCAGCTAACGTTGTCCAACAAGGAAGGTGATGTGCAGCACGTGCCCTAGCCATTTCAATCTATGTAGCTTCTCAATGTCTAAATTTCTGTGCTGAACACTATATGTTTTGAGTTCAGCCTGCTTAGTTTTGTCTCTGACAAACAACTGTGTACATCACGCTGACAGCAGTAACCCTAAACTCAAAGAGACATTGCCCAACCTGGTGACCCCCGTCGTCAAATCAATGGTGATCTCAAAGAGACGATATAGCTATAAGCTTTGGATAACGAGAGTCATCAGAAAACTGTTGCTTTTTCTGGAGAATGCGTGTAGACTCCAGTAACGCCCTGGTTCGTGCATGTTTATGCATACAAATGAACAGGCATAAAAAACAGACAGCAATGAAGCCATTACATCCTCGAACTGGATCGAGACAATAAGCTCCTATTCGAGGAAGAAATAGCCAAACACGTGACCACACTTAACAACAAAACTCATTCTAAGGAAGCCTGGTATAATATCGAGTCAGATGTAGAAACGGTGGCAGACGCTGTTGATAACCTAAAACCAAAGGTTAGAAAATACCAGTGAGTTTCTGCAACTTCATCCAAACTGGTAGAAGTAAGCAAACGGATTCCGGCTGGCTTCAAACATAATCAGGAGCAACAGCGGCCAAAATGCAGACTGACAGAGAGTCTTCGCAATGACCGTGAACAGTGGTGGGTAACAAAAGCAAAAGATGCAATTGCCGACTTTGGATGTCTACCTCCCATAATAATCGACTGTGAGTGGCGACTCAAAAGCCTACTATGTTTAGTTTTGCCGATAACCGTAGTTTGAACACTATATTCCATCCACAAACAAATGAAGATTAAGATTCATTAAAATGAGTCACTTCCTTTATACGTCCGTGTCATCAAGAACACTTTATGATCGAGTGCTGGGCATACATTAATTTTACCGTATGTAATAGTCTCATTATTGTTAAATGAGTTCATTTTACCCACTGTTGACTGCACATTACGCGTAACTAGGCTTACAAACCCAATACTTCCAATTAGGTCTACCCTTATCCGACCTCATTCCACCAATGTCACTCACTTCTTGACACAAGGTGATATAAATCACGAAGCTACAAGCCGACAGTTAGAATCACCTAATTATGTGCCTTAGTTATCAAGGGAAGATAGAAATACTAACCACGTTATCGGAACGGCTAGTGGTAATTTTAAGTATAGCATATGAACCTAGCATATAGAGAACGCTGGCAATTCTTCTTAAAAGCCAACAAGTTGAAAATCCTAGCATGCTATGAAAATATACTGATTAGTTTGCGTGGACTTGTTAATTTGAAGCTAATCACGTAAAGAACCACACTATTTCGCACAGTCATGGTGTAAATTTAAGCTTCTGGGCGTACATCCGTTGACATACCAAACATCTTGGTTTCAGAAAAGTGATTCTAAAATAGGAATCACATTTCCACCGATTGAGTGCCTTCGTGTAGTCTGTACTGCTAATCGTTTTTGTCTCATAAAATTACGTTTGAATTAGAGAACTTTCGCATATTACTTTTAGTTTCTAGGATTATCAGTTTTTACGACACTAGATCTAGTGTTGTTATCGATAACAACAATACTTGCTGTTGCTCCGACGGAAGACGCTCTAGTAAATTGCGCTGCAGCAAAACAGTGGCCTTACGAAAAGCACGCATTAATAATGACGACAAGCTGGTTTATATGCATACAAAACTTACTATCAGACCCTTCCACAAACACTTTGAATACTGGCAACTGAACACCAGCAACATTTTCTTTATCTGTTTTAACCTTTCGCTGAGCCTTGGTGACGTTTTGAAGGACAATACTATTAATATTCGCTGCTGTTGTAAACTTGACGCTAGCGAGTGAAAAATTCGCCTCTTTCATCACCTCACCCATCGTTTGCTTCGCCTAATGGTGGTGAATAAGGTCTTTATTCTATAAGTACCTGAATAATTTGCCTCAGTATGCCACGAAAACGAACAGTCAACGCATCCGACTTCCGTTTTAAAAGCCTGTGACCTGTTTGAGCGCCTTTCAATCTACTTTTCATGGCTGTTTGGGCCCTAAATAAATCAAGACAATTGTAAGCTTTGTTGAAATGTGTACCCACATTCTTGATGGGAAAATATTATACCGATCACCCTGTCCCGACATTTTAGGAATTGAGCCAAATCAGCTTTTTTCAACGTTAGGTATTCAATAGGCGCAGATGGAGAAACCCTATTGGCTGTTGATAGAAAAATGAATTTGCCTCTTCTTGACTATAAATTAAAACAAATCCTGCCAAAATTTTAGCTGGCATTTGATATAATCAGACGCAAAATGGCACATTTTTATTGCTGTGCAGGTCACTTTATACCGAGAACTATAAAGATTTTCCTTACAAACAAAAAAGTGTAGCATCCAGCGCAAAATGCCCTTTTCACAGTGCTGATACAATTTTCGATTGAGTTTAGAAGTATTTAAGTGTGTATGTTTGTCTTACTCATTCTTGGGTGGGTCAACTGAAAGCGTAGACACCACTTATTCTAGAACTTAGTTCCAAGTGGCACGGTGGTTATGACTCTCGCCGACCATGCACATGGTCCGAGGTTCGACCCCCTGCCGACGCACACTTGATATCTATGGTCGGCCAGCAAAATTTGGGCTACCGATAGCCATGCTGAAAATTCCATATCTGTACCAAAAATACAATGTGGAATCAAGCTGTAATCAAAAATATATATTTTTAAAAAATAATACCTCTTCTAGAGGACCAGTACTTAACAACGATATAGTTCATCCTTTCCAATATCCAATATAGTTTTTACGAGCTGGTATAAACCAATTTGATTTCCTTGTGCTCGCTTCTTGATTGTAAGGTATACGTTCCTGGTCTTCGGTAAACTTCTGAGTAGCTCGTCCCGCCACTCGACTGTCGTAGCTCTGGTTGACTCCAAAGGGAATAGTGGTGGGATTAATTAAATTTGGTTTGTAGTATGAGGTGTGTCAAAACTGTTACTACTGTGAATGGAGCTGATCCTTTCGCCAGTTAGTCCTCCGGTATCGTCCACAAGAGAAAAGAGATAGTAATGATAATAATAGATATAATTAGTGAAGGTATTCAGACTAACAGACAGAAAAGGAAATAGGGAAGCGTAACAACAATCAGCTGATTAAATTTGAAGAATAATATATACATATATATATATCGGTAATAATAATAAGTGCAGTTAAAGTTTTCAGGAGAGTAAGACGGGAGAGAATGTTTTTTGATTTCTTTTTTTAATAATGGTAAAGCTTTATTTAAGACAGTGTGCGAATATGCGGTACAAAATTTTCAGCATATTCAGTTCTAAAGTACTTTCTTCTTCATACAGGACTCACGTGTAAAGTAATAATCCGAAGTAAATCTTCATTTCGTTGAAGAACTGTACAGCTGCTATATCCATTTAGATGTTTTAACCTGCTGGGAAAAAAGGTAGAAACATATGAGGCCCACAGTCATTTCTTACATTTTACAACGTCGGGCTAGTCTTCCTGATGAGAAGCGCGTACAACGATTGTTTACAACATGTGTTCCGTACGAGAAGACCATCTCATCTTCTTAGTCATGCGCGACAACTCATAGGAATATGTTAGCTAAATGAAGCTATTTAAAGCAAGTGTGATTGCAAATATTACCACATAAATCTCGGCAAATAATAGTTATTTCATGTAAGTCTCTGAACCTCAGGGATTTAGCCAACATGATAGATAAGAATGGCATGGTTGGAAGGCTATCACTAATAAAACTAGCATACAGACCTACGGAGAACAATCCTTTTCTCTGGATCTTAGACACAACAGGCGCCACTTCTCTAGGCACCCTAAGACCAAGTCGAAACTTTACCGGCACGTTTACGCTTACCCCAACACATCTCCCTTATCTATGGCTAATATACACCGAAGAGTGTTCCAGAGAGCCCTACAACAAGGAAGAAATGGGTTAGGTGGGTTTTCTAAAGGTGGCCCTGGACTCACTACATCCCGAAAACCACTGGATACGGACTACCCAGGATCATCAATGGACTATCATTTACAAAAATAAACACCCAAAATGTCATAACTGCATATATTTGGGTGAGTGCTATGTCCCCACGTGATTAAAATCCATGTTAGAAAGAGAACAACATCCCGGAAAACTGCAACAATGGCATAAAATACAATTAAGGATAATACATCATTGGAAGAACATTTACATGACATGTACAAGAAGGAGCTATAGAGTCCTTGGAACGATAGTACATATGTCAATCACGTCTCATAAACCGTTAATGCCCAGCTCTCGCTACGCTCGGGCCCACGCTGTTCTTCGAAGATTTCAGAAACGCTTAGTTATAACGGACGCAAAAACCAAAACACCGATCTGCCGTTTGATATTTCTGTATTGTTACACCAACATATAAAAGGAATAAGCGAACTAAGGTCTGAAAACAAATATTACAATAATAAATCATAAGATTACTTCTGACGATGTTTCACTCTTATTTCTGAACAGCGACCGATGAGACGATGACTGTCGTATTGATGCCTCCGCGAAAATTGGGGAAGTTGATTTTGACCAAACAACCAAGAATTGATCGTTCAATCTTCAACTCCATTGACAACATATTTGCAATGTTTAATGCCAACCGTATCGGTCCCAACATGGGAAATATGACTTTTTCGGTGAAATCATAGCTTTGTTCAAACATTAGTGTTGTTGTGCTTTTAATCGAAGCAACCGGACCTTAAGAAAGCAACAAATATGAACGAAGAGTAAGTTTTAGCTCTAATAAAGGCCTAGGTAGTTAAGATAAAATAGAGTATAATAGCACGTAAATAAAAAGATTACCGTGAAGTAGATAAATGGTATTTCACTGAGAAGTAAATTTAAAGACCCAGAAAATTAGAATCCGTAGGGCAAGCTGACCTGTAAGATGTCTCACAAATTTCTGTAGGGCCCATGAGGTAGGACCTTGACAAGAAGGTGAACAGACTCGTAGATGGTAGGAACAAAAGCACTTTTTCTATAATTTAGATCTGTACAACCCTTATTATTTCTTGTTAAGGTTCAGACTAATGTTTAACTCTCGAGTCATCAAAAAATGCATATTGCTGTCCTACAGATCGGAGCGATTCATATTTGTGACGACTACCATATTTGCTGATCAGCATGCGCCACCCTCCCTCCTTTTTGATGTTAAGCTCTGAGATTCGTTTGCGATAACTGTAATTGCAACATTCCATTGCTTTGAGCCCGTCCCAATCATACAGTATGCTGCACACTAATGGCTTTCATGGCAAGTGCTTCCCATTAGGTCACCAGATACATCGATACCTGAGGACATTCTTAGCAGTATCACCTTTATACATGCATACATACACATAAGTATTCGTCACAAACGCCTAGAAAACTCAGTTTACTTTAAGCAGTATAAAGTACAGAGGCATATAGCATTACGGCAACTGGGTTATGGATGACTTAGTAGAGTTAAATTGGTAGTGGATCAATTAGTGATAAAATTATGAATAGTGATTCTGAAGAAAACAGCTGGCTAACAGAACTAGTTATGCTAAATTCCCATGACCGATTTTCATATGATATGCGTCAGACATTGCGAAGTAACCCTTCAACTTATGTTATGTTAAAAATACTGCGAAATGTTATAAAATTATACATTTTGGAAACGTATATGAGAAAAAGTAGTAATAGACTGAATAAAGTCATTTCGACACAAAAAACTTCATCCGCTGTAGCATCTCTCCGTTCATCATATAGTACCCGTCCGAATGGAATTCTATCTATTGTGTTGAAAATGTGTGGTGGAGATATGCCCACTATCCTCCTTATGTTTGTTATTCTGTCCTTAAATAACGTTGGTTGCCCAGAGCTGTGGAAACTGTCGTTCATAACCCTTAGGCAAACACTAGGACCGATTTCTGATATCGAAAACTACAGACCCATCAATATCACGTCAGTAATTTCCAAGATTTTGGAAAAAGTCATAGAGCAAGATATTCCATCACACCCCCACCTTCACAAAGTGTTCACCTCAGCACCACACGGCTTTTTAAAAAGTCGATCATGCCCCACCTGCCTACTTGACCATTTTGATGACATCACTGCTAAGCATGGTCATGGTTTACTTGTCACAACTCTCCTCCTCCACTTCAAAACGCATTTGATAAAATTTCAGAGACTAATTCTTATGCTAAAGTCGTACGGTTCCAGGACCCCTCGTTATCCTGGCTCAATTCTTCCTTAGAAGACAGCTGCCATGTTGTCTAATTATCAAATAATTACTCGTCGCCCAGACCCATGAGAAGTGGAGTGACTTAGAGTAATGTGCTAAGGCCACTGCTCTTCGTCGTTTACATTAACGATATCTGCAGTTTAATCAAGCATGGTACTCCATATCTCTTTTTTGACGACCTAAAGATTGTCTACCACCTCCTATATTCGACTCTGAATGAGGGATTCACACATATTTAAGATGGTCTGAGTAGGTTACTTAACTGGAGTAATGCCTGGCGACCGCCATTCATTTCTGGTGGATGTGATATCCTATACTTCAATAACTCCCTCCCTAATTTCAGGTTACAGCTAGATGAACTTTTCCCCAAACAGTTAATTCAATAAAAGATCTACGCGATACCTACTGACAAAACTTGACATTTAGTCAGTAGACAGAACCATTTTTCTAAATGCTGAAGACACACAGACTCCTTACACCAAAACATTTGCAAAACCGAAGCCAAAATCATCTTGTTCAAAGTCATGGTTCTTCCAGTACCTGAATAGTGCACAATCATCTTCGATTTGTCTCATAAACCCCTTTTCACTATACACATACTTGGCCCACTTAGTGTATAGGTAACGAAAAACTCCGTTGGCAACTCTTTATTTTTTTGGAGGAACATGCTAAACGCTTCTAGGCAAAGCATTAACACCAGGACACACATGCAATATAGAAGTTTGTATAACATAACTAGTTAGTTATTCAATGGGGATAATGGCTTTAAAAAATTGAGTAAAGATATATGGATATATTTACACAAAGCACCTTGGGGACTCTCCATACTTCTTCTGTGCCTCTGTTCCTTGTCTACTTTGTTCACCCTTTAGCAAATAGTTGAATTTCAGGTTGATCAATATAATTTAAATGCCTGGAATCTCACAAGAAAGAAAAATAAACTGTTGTTACTATCATTATTAATCCAAAGAGACCTGGAAAATTTGCTTGCCCTAAATCATAC